TTTGGATCAGTCAGTTCCATTTAATTGTCAAGAAAATTTGAAGCAAACTTTTGACATTTTACAAAAAATTAAAAAGGAAATGCAAATTATTCTCGTTTCCATTAAATGCTTTGGAGGGAATCAACCCGTCCGTCTGGTGCCGTCAGCAGGTGGCGCTGTCGGCTGCTTCAGCTGTAATAAGAAGCAGAAGAAGTCGTAAACAAAAGTCCAATCCTCGTTTTATCTCAGGCTCATCCTTTTTCTTTCCCTCCAAACTTCAACACTGTTCTGGTTCAGAGTCAAACATCTGATTAGATCCACAGATTACTGGCCATTGATCAGAGGATTTCTGATGCTCAGCTTCTGATTAGTCTTATTTGGCCAAAGCTCTGCTGATACGTGTGTCGCTGAATCTTACAGACTGCCGTATGTGGTGGAGAAAAAAGCTTCCTTTGTTTCAGAACGGAGGCTTCCCATCGACTCCAGCACCAACAAACTTCATCCTGTCTGTCTGTTTTACTGTGAAGCGCCTGACAGTGGAGCAAAACAGCGACGTGGACCCACAGTAACAACCTCCAGCCTCCTCCAGCCTCTTCGCGGCAGGTCTCGGTAATTAGATTGTGGAGATGAGGAGGTGGAGGAGAGTTAAGAGGATTTTGTTTTTAGAGGAGGGAGATTTAGGAATGAGAGAGACGGAGCTTCAGAGAGAGAGAGAGAGGGTGAAGGGGGAATTAGACGAGATCCTCTTCTTTTGTTTATCCTCCGCCGGTCATCCTTCCTAAAGAACACGTTGAGTGACAGACGCAGAGATAAAGACGTCACTGTTCCTCCTGCTGCTGCTGCTGCTGCGGCGACGTGGAGGTTTAGAAACGAAGGTTTAAGGGTTGTAATGACTCACAGAACCTGACATACTCAGTCAGAACCCTGCAGTGTGTAGAGATGTTCTGGTCCTTTAGTTCAACGGGACGGGACAGAACCAGAGGAAAATGAGTCGACTGAACTCTAGCAGCTCTTTAACCAAAAGGTTAGAGTCCACCTGACATGTTGCTACACACTTTGGGAGGAACGCCGTTCGACTGGTGCGGGAGTACAAAATAACTTCCAGAAAACTTGCAGACTACAGGAATCATCTGCGCTTCGAAACTCAGGTGTTAACGTCTCCTTCAGGATCTTCACAGACAACCTATTGAGGGTTCCTCAGTCCACCTCCGGTCCTCGGGGAACCTTTGAACACAACAGGTGATGGTGAGGAACCCCGAAAGGTTCCGTCAGGATCTCCTACCTATCAGAGCTTAAACAAACTCTAAAGTTTAAACTCCATCTTCTGTCCGTCTGTCTGAACTGAAGGCAGAAACGACGTCTTTGACTTCAGTCAGCTTGGACTCGGCTGGTTCTGTCTGAGCTCAGTTTGAGTCCTTCTGCTGCTGATGTGGCTCCTAGTGTTTGCTTTGAGTATTTCAGTGTCTTTGGTTTCATAGTACATCCTACCAGTCAGCTCTCACCTCTCTGGTTGTTTTAATCCATCTGTGATGTGTTATTGGGTTGTGTGTCTCTGCCGGGTCCTTCCCACCAGCCTGCTGTAGACTGAAAGTGACACAACACTGGAAACCATTCTGGATTTAAAACAGACGGTGACAGGAATGTGTCCGTATACGTCTGTCAGAACCCGACGTATGAAACGACTTTGCTGACAGAAACCTTTGTTCATGCGTTGTTTAGTTTCAGGTTAATGATGATGATCTGAATCATCACTGCCAGAGCGGCGTTCTGCTGGTTCTGCTTCATCATCGACATCTTCTGGACTCATTTTAAACCATTTACACTTAATTTCATTCTGTGTTCATTGTGTAGAGATCAATGAAGGAGGGAACCTTTACGGGCTGTGGAGGTGTTTGGGATGTTCTTGGTCTCCTTGGACCAGGTTCTTCTTGGACTGTAGAAGGTCGAGCAGAACCTTCACACCATCTGGAGCTTTAACATGACGGTCCACATGTAGAACAACAGATCAGTTGTCCTGACATTCAGCACATCCTCATCCAGCTGCACATTATTAATCTGTGTTTGAACCAACGTATCTTCATCTTGGACCACATCCAGCCACAGAGCTGCTCCTGCTCTAAGTCCTCTTTTGTATCGCCCAGTTTCTCTGTGACGCACTTTAATCTTCTGCTGTTTTTCCTATTTTCTCTTGTTTTTCGGTGCGTCTCCGGCTTCCCTCTGCATCCTCCATCTCTGTCTCTGCAGCCACTCCACGGCTTCCCATGTATTTTGGAAGAAAAGCTTTTTAGCAAATATTTGTCTGACTGTGTCTGTAGAGCCCTCTGAGTCAATACGAGCCCAGCCAGGCTCGACCGGTCCACAGAAACCGAGAGGAAAGAGGGATCAGTGCATGAAAACCAGCAGTGCAGAAACAATAGAGACTTAGGATTCTGTCTTTTTCTCTGTATATGAATAAACTTGCAGAGAACAGAGTGTTCGTATCCAAACTCACCAACCTGCACTTCAGACTGACGATGATGAGAAGCATCACATGCAGCCGTCTTCAGCATGAGGTGGGCTTAACGGAGACAGAATGAGAAACCTTCACCACTGTGGCTTCACGTCTGGTTTCCTTAAACCAACCTGTGAACATTCAGCGTTTTGCTGATTTGATTAATTATCTAAAGTAACATCACTGAAGCTGAAGCTCCTCCTATCAGAACCTGAGCTGAAACCGTCCAGCAGAAAGTGCTGCTTTAACAGTGTGTTTATGTGTGACTGAGGTCCAAACACGTCTCTGCTCCTCCGTCATCACCTCAGTTTGATCACCACACACACCTGATGTACCGATCACTGTATTGATCAGCCAGTCGTCCATGTTTCGTGTGTTTCTGCTCCAGTCAGTAGAGCATTAGGTATCTGCTCCGCTGCTTCATCAGCACGATGATGTTGGGTTACGTTGATGTTTACCACAGCAGGACCTTCTGGAGGAACTTGATGTGTTTCAGGGGTCAAAGTGGAGTTTTGGGGAATTTATTGAACATCCAGGAAGTCCCAGTAACTTACAGGATAAACGTTCTGACTGGTTTCAGCCACTGCTGAAAGCCTCCACCATGAATCTTCTGGTGTGTGAATGAGTGTCACTGGATGTCTGGAGCCTCCTCCACGTCCCATCATTCAGACGTTTTTTGAACTTGCAGCTTGTTTTAGAGCCACTTGAACCTCTGAGAGTTTTCCTCCTAGAATCTCTTTCTGGGACTTTTTTCTTGTTTCAGGGAAGGAACTCCTGCAGGTTCTGATGGTGATGGGTTAAAGTCTCCTCCGCTCTGCTGGAGTTTCAGACTTTGTGCAGCAGATCTCAGCGCTACAACTTCATCCTCTGACTGAATTTTGTCTCCTGCGTCGTCGGCTTTAATTCGCCTGCTGCAGGTGTTTTGCGCAGAGCGAGTACCAGTCGGTGGTTGTGTTGTTGTTCAGAGCCTCCTCCTCCAACGTAACACACACCTCCTGTTTGGAATAAATTTATCTGCAGCCACACACACACACACACACACACACACACACACACACCAGGCTTGTCCTCTTGATCCCGTCGCTGTATTCGGCATCCACATCTCCTGTTTAGACAAGCAGGCGAGCAACAAATATGCTAAACTGAAGAGAGCGAGAAAGACGAGATGAAAGACAGAAGAAGAGTCGAGTGTGTGTGTGTGTGTGTGTGTGTGTGTGCACGTCACCGGAGACACAACGAGAATCCCATTTCATTGTAATAGTGTTTAATATTTATTGGAAAAATGTAAAGAAAATGTAAAGGAAGTGCTTGTGAGCGGGCGGCCGGGATTAGCATAAATAGTTTGTGGCTCGGACGTGTTCGGTCTCTGCAGAGGAGGAAGTCTGTCCCTGCATCCTGTCACACACACACTAATACATGCATATGTTTGCACACAGACACACACACACACACGCACACGCCTGCATGAGTAAACAGTGAAACATGCAAACACACACACACACACTGACCTTTGAGTGTGAAAACTCATCAGCATATAGTGATTTATAATAGGCGCTGCCAATCCTCCTGTTTCTTTTCTCCCTTTTTTGCATTTATTAGACAGAAGCCGAGCGGCAGCGGAGCGGCAATATTGGCTGTTGTCATTTATTTTATGCACTGTTACTGCTGATCAAGGATCTGAGCTGAATTTGACTTTATGCTAATAAACTGTAATGAATGACCTGAATTTAACGACGCTGAACTGTGGAGAGACGACAGAATGCAGAAGAACAAACGGCGCTGCTCTTTGTTAAGACACGACTCTGGTTCAGCGTGTTTCCTTCTCAGACGGCTTTCCGTAACTTGCGGTGACACCGTGATGCTCAGAGCTCCGGTACAGAGGACCACAAGACCGGGACCGCTGGAGGTCTGCAGACATCCCGACAGCATGGCTGCGGACGGCACAAGTTCAGATCTCAGCTTTTGTCTGTCAGTGATATCTATGTGTTGATGAAATGATCTACAGCCGATGACTAGAAACGAGCAGCGAGGTCTGAGAGATGAGGAAGAGTTCAGAGACACAAGATGAACCAAAATCTAATCAAACTTATTTCAGTGTCACGTTAACAGTCAGGCAGCAAGAAAATAAGACAAAACGCAGCAGTTTGTAAAAGAGAATAAAAACAGGATCACAAGGTTTAAGATCAGATCTAATAAATACGAACAGTTAGGATCAGGAACGACCAGAAGCCTTTCAAACATGAACGTCTTGAGCTTGAACTCATCGTCTGTTTCATTGGTCGTCTCGTTTGTCTTCCTGGATTATTTCTATCAAACTGTGTTTTACTTAAAGTCGATGCTAGAAAACTATTTTAGATTCCAAAATGGATAATGACATGTTCTGTTCACAGCGATAAGAATCTCTCTAGTCTGAACCACTTCACAGTTTTGGTGTCCCAGAGTTCCTCGTTTTGTTCAGGAAAATGTTTGTGAACCTAAAACCTGCAGCTCACTTCACCTCCTGTCTCACCTGGTTTCTCTTTTCTTTCAGTCTCTGTGTTCGGAGATCCGAGCCCGGCGCCGAGGAATCTCCTCGGTTCTGAAGCTCTGCCAGAAGCTGCTGCAGCAGAGTCAGGTGAGGAGACGGAACATGTGTTTAGTGGTGGTTTTGGTTTGTAGACTCAGAGGATGAAGGTCCAGTCAGCCACTGGTCAGAGTTCCATCAACCAGTCAGATTGTATTCATGTAGAACTTTTTATACAAACAGAGATGCAACACACAGTAGCTCACAGTAAACGGGTCTGAGCACCGCCCAGCTAAGTCTAACCTGCGTCTCCACCTGTGGACAGTCGGGTCCGATGGCGGAGGCGGGCCCGGAGGCGGAACAGCACCGGGAGGCCCTGCAGCTGCTGTCCATCAACCTGGAGCGGCGCTGGGAGGCCATCGTGATGCAGGCGCTGCAGTGGCAGAACCGGCTGAGGAGGGAGCAGCAGGTGAGGCGCTCACACTCGCCGAGCATGTCAGCGACTGATTTGATGCTAAAATGTGCCGTGAAAGACAGATGGTGCCGTGATTGAAGCGACGCTGTTTCGGTTACGGAGCAGAACCGAGACGGCGCCGTGATGTTTGTGAAATAAGCATCAGCTCCGAGAGAGAGAACAAACTTTCACACAATCAGAGGGCGGCTCTGCTTCAGCTCTCTGCTTCCAGGTAGACGTGGCAACAAAAGGGTGAGCGTGGTGACGGTTCGGTTTGGTTCCGGTCAGAGTTCTGGTGTGTTGTTAGTCCGTCGCTGCTTTTAAAGGAGGTCAACTTTGCATCACCTGAGAAGGTAAATTATTTAAAGCTTGTGCTCCTCTGACCTTCTGCTTCTTCTTCATGAGTCCTTCAGGGAACATGATCAACTCTTAGTGCTCTGCTGGTTCTTCTCCCAGCCCTCTTGTTCCCAGTAAGATCCTTAAACATCCCATAATCTGCACATTTACAGTCGTATGAAAAAGTTTGGGCACCCCTGATCATTTTCAAGGTTTTCCTTTATAAATCATTGGTTGTTCAGATCTGCAGGTTCAGTTCAATATATCATGTATCATGTAGCAGACAAACACAGTGATATCTGAGAAGTGAAATGAAGTTTATAGGATTTACACAAAGTGTGCAATAATCACTTAAACAAAAATAGGCAGGTGCATAAATTTGGGCACCTCAACAGAAAAATTACATCAATATTTAGTAGATCCTCCTTTAGCAGAAATAACAGCCTCTAAACGCTTCCTATAGCTTCCAATGAGGGTCTGGATTCTGGTTGAAGGTATTTTTGACCGTTCTTCTTTACAAAACATCTCCAGTTCAGTCAGGTTTGATGGTTTCGAGCATGGACAGCCCGCTTTAAATCACACCACAGATGTTCAATAATATTCAGGTCTGGGGACTGAGATGGCCGTTCTACAACGTTGGACTTGTTCCTCTGCATGAGTGCCTTCGTAGAATCTGAGCAGTGTTTAGAGTTGTTGTCTTGTTGAAGTATCCAGCCCGGACGCAACTTCAACTTTGTCGCTGATTCTTGAACATTGTTTGCAAGAATCTGCTGATACTGACTGGAATCCATGCGACCTTCAGCTTTAACAGGATTGCCAGTAGCTGCACTGGCTACACAGCCCCACAGCATGATGGAACCACCACCACATGTTACTGTGGGGAGCACGTGTTTGTCTTGGAATGCTGTGTTCTTCTTCCACCATGCATACCGCCTCTTGTTATGTCCACATAACTCAGTTTTGGTTTCATCAGTCCACAGCACCTTATTCCACAGTGAAGCTGGCTTGTCCAATGTGCTTCAGCATACCTCGAGCGACTCTGTTTGTGACATGTGTGCATTCCTCTGCCAGACAGCATCACCTTGTGCAAAGTGCGCTGAATAGTTGAACGATGCACAGTGACACCATCTGCAGCAACATCATGTTGTAGGTCTTTGGAGCTGGTCTGTGGGTTCAGTTGGACTGTTCTCACCGTCCTCTGCTTATCTGAGCTTTTTCTTGGCCTGCCACTCAGGGCCTTAACTAGAACTGTGCCTGTGGCCTTCCATTTCCTCACTATGTTCCTCGCAGTGGAAACTGACAGCTGAAATCTCTGAGCTAGCTTGTTGTATCCTTCCCCTAAACCATGATGTTGAACAATCTTTGTTTTCAGGTCATTTAAGTTGTTTTGAGGCTCCCATGTTGCCACTCTTCAGAGAAGATGCAAAGAGGAGAACAACTTGCAACTGGCCACCTTAAATACCCTTTCTCCTGATTGGCTTCACCTGTGTATGCAGGTCAAGGGTCAATGAGCTGACCACACACATTTTGTGTTCCAAAAATTAGTGCTAAAGGTATTCAAATCAATAAAACAACAAGGGTGCTCAAATTTATGCACATGCCTACTTTTGTTTAAGTAATTATTGCACACTCTGTGTAAATCCTATAAACTTCATTTCACTTCTCAGATATCACTGTGTTTGTCTGCTACATGATATATTTACCGGAACCTGCTGATCCGAACAACCAATGATTTATAAAGGAAAATCTTGAAAATGATCAGGGGTGCCCAAACTTTTTCATACGACTGTACACGTGTATTACTGGATGTTGGAGTTCTGCTTGAATCAAAATTTGTCCAAAATGACTTAAAGTTTCTCCAGATTGAGTCGAACCGACTTTACGTGAATAAAAAGCAGCTTTATGAAGGAAAACAGGAAGCAGGAGCAGAACGTGCACTGACTGATTGTTTCTCTTCATGGATCCATCCAGAAGGACTCAAACTTAAATGTGTAAATTCTGAACCTGATCAGAAAGCAGCTCTTCAACTAACTGGATGAACCGAAGCAGAATGTTTGTTCTTCACTGTGCAGAAACGTTCTGGTCGTATCCAGCTCTTCATCCCAGCAAGCTGACAGTCAGTAGAACCCCATCGTGTGGTAGATTTTACTGATCAGGCTCATCGGAGCAGAATCAGAGCTTCAGTAGAACCTCGAGGACCAGAAGACGGTTCTTCACAGACGTCCGTTACCGTCTGTTATCATGTGTTACTGTCCGTTGTCGTCCGTTGCCATGGATTTCTGTGTGTTTTTGTGTGCTCTGGTTGCACCGTGTGTTTCTGCAGATTGATGCTGTGGCTCAGAGGACGGATGTCAGAGTCCACACTGTGACTTCGGTGCTGCTGCAGCGAATAAAGAGTCTGTGGGAGGCTCAGTTTATAAATGAACTCTGTGCTCGGCGATAAAACGATTGTCGTCTCTGCTTCCTGTGTTCGTGCAGAGTGTGTGTTCTCGTGGACGTCGCTCTGCAGCCGTGTGTTTGTGTTTCAGACCAGCTGGTTGTTTCTGCAGCAGCAACAGTGTTCAGGTTATCGAAGTTATCACACGATGACAAAATCACATTAAATCAACACTGAAGCAACATACGCTCAAGTTCAAGACAGTCAGGATTCTCAGAACCAGCCTGAGTCTGGACATAAAGCGGGTCGCATCAGTGTCGCTGTTGCAGTCTGTGGATCGGCTGTTGGGCCGAACTCTGGGTTCAGGTCTCGTTTCTGTTTCTGTGTTTCTTGTTTGTGTTGTTTTGTGTCTCGTTTGTGTCGTGGTGGCAGCAGAGAGCATTGTGGGAGTTCAGCAGCACCATGACAGAGACTCTGAGGAGGTTCAGGACCTCCAACCAGAGCTCAGGTGTTTAATAAAGCTGATGAATAACGCTGCATTAATTAAGATAATTATTTCAAATGAACATCTTTAGCGTCCTGCTCTTCTGTTCAAGACAAACTGGGAAACTTTGATTTCAAGAAACTCAAATATTCAAAGCTTCTGCCAGCAGAGGAACAGCAGTCCATCCCGTTTCCATCAGAAATTATTATTTTCAAGCTTATTCTTGACACAACACAGAAGAGCTTTCGTATTTCTTTTTGGATCACCAACTCTGGGGTCCAACCTCTGAGGACCAGCAGCATGCAGGGCAGATTCTGGGTCTTCTGGGTTGATCTGCTCGTCGACCAGCTTCACGCCTGCATCCACCTTGAACATGTGACTCGGTTCCGCTACGAGACGCTTTCTGTGGCGTCGGTGAGAAGACGCGGCTCAGGAAGCCGGTGAAAGATGCTGTTTTATCTGTGATTCGATGTAAATGAGTCTAAATGAAAGCTGCAGGGTGTTGTGGGGATGAGCTTTCACAAAGTGTACCTGTGCGTTGAATGTAATATATGGAAATTATATTTTAGAAACGGTTCCCTCACAATTATGAAATATACTTTAGAGCAGAGTTATGAGCAACATATGGAGGTTTTCATTCACCGCTCGCAATTACATTCAAAGCCTCCTGTCTCTGCTGCTCTCTGCATGGAGGTGATTTATCTGGGAGCTTGTATTGGTTCTGAATCGGAGCGGTGACGCCGGCTCCCTCAGCGCTTTGACAACCAGCAGCAGCAGCTCCAGCAGCTCCAGCAGCAGCATGAATAATCACCCAGACGCTGCTAGATAGCTGCGCTCTCCTTGGGCCTTCCAGCAGATGCTATGCTAACAAATGGGAGCAGTCAAACCAGAGCTAATGGGAAAAAGTTTCCTGTTTTCACCCCCAAAAAACACAGCTCAGGTCCCCACAAGCACACAAACCCCGCAGCAGCAGCTCAGCTCAGATTAAACACAAGAGTCTGGTTCATGGAAATGCAACCAGTTAGTGTGACTGGTTTCAGCCACGGCGGGTTTAAAAGCAACAAGGTCACATTTCTGCTCCCCAGAGCTTCATCCTTTAGTCATCTCAAGCTACATATGGTATAAACATCCACATCATCAGGAGGCTATTGTGTGTTTTCACTCCTGCAGACAAACATTAACAATCTAGAGGTGCTTTTATACTGAAAATCCAACCTACTGGATCAATGAATAGATGCATGATGGATCAGAACCACAGAACAGAGGACCCAGTTGGTGGAGATACATTCAGCTGATGGTGGAACATCTTTCTACGTCTGATGGTGGAACATCTTTCTACGTCTGATGGTGGATCATCTTTCTACGTCTGATGGTGGAACATCTTTCTACGTCTGATGGTGGAACATCTTTCTACATCTGATGGTGGAACATCTTTCTACATCTGATGGTAGAACATCTTTCTACGTCTGATGGTAGAACATCTTTCTACTGATGGCGGAACATCTTCCTACATCTGATGAGCAGAGCAGAGAGGAAAAGTCTGGAGACATAAAGATAGATCAACATCTGCAGGATGAGGAGATGATATGAGCTCCAGGTTTATCATCTGGAGACCTGTTGGTTCCTGTTTTTTATACATATATAATTTAGTTAAATAATCAAAGAAACGTTCCTTCTCTCTGGTCTCCATGATTCTGAGTCCTGCTGACAGAAGACGTCTCTGAGTTCTCTCTCCTCCTTCATGTTCTGGTTCCTCAGAGCTGCAGGACTTTAACATGGACCTCAGAGAAGGAACTGGAGACAGGAGCTGCTCAGAGTTCAGAGGGTTAAACGCTGCCAGTGTTTGCTGCCTCCAGCTGCAGAAGTCCTCTGAGTCCTACGCTGATAAACTTCAGAAACTCCTTTCTCCTGGTATTAAAGGAACAATCTGCCAGTTTCATGTCACTTTGTGGAAACTCCTGAAACACACATTTCTTCTTCCTTTCAGACAGTTTTAACGCTGCGTCACTTTAAACCAGAGACGCTGCTGGAGGAGATCGTTTAAAGCGTTTCCGTCAGAGGGACTCTGGAAGCTGTTTAGTCCTGAGCTCCTGATGAAGACGGCTGCGGCTCCTCGGCCTCCGTCTCAGCCAGACGCTGCCACTCTGACACAACATGTTCTGTGATCACTTAAAACAGAGTAAAATCAGCCCACCCCAAAGCAATTGCTCATAAATCTCAACACAAATTATTCCACTCTGGAACAAAGCGATGAATTATTCAGAAACGACTTCTGAGAGAAAGAGCAGCAAGCTGAAAACCCCAAAGTAAATACGTAATCAGAAGCCTTCAGAACGCTCGGCTGTCTAAAAATATGCTTAGACACAGGAATTCTTCCTTCCACAGACATAATTATACAAATTGCTCGGCGTCTCGTTAACAAGAGAGGGGGGTAATTCGTATTAGCCATTCATAGCCTATTAATCTAATAAACTAGTTGGCTCTGTGTGTGTGTGTGTGTGTGTGTGTGTGTGTGTGTGTGTGTGTGTGTGTGTGTGTGTGTAATGAATTTCTATTAGATTTGTGTTTATTCCCTTCGTGCTGATAAGGGAGATGGAGGTAATGACTGAACTGGGTTTTGCCGCTGCATTCAAAAACACATTGAGCGCTGAGAGGAGAGGCTATCAATCAGAATAATCCAATCAAATCCAGGATTTGATGACCCGCGAAAACCTTCTACATAATTTATATCTGTAATTTATCTAATTTCTGTAATTTCACAACAGTTTATGGCTGAATCGTGGCTGGTTTTATTGGTGTCCAGAGCGCGGCGTCCGGCCGACACTCTGTCTTTAACAACAGGTTTTAAAGCAGGAATCAGTGCGACGTGTTGCTGGGAAGCTGCAGAGATGGACAACGGCACCAAAGACAAATTCCCCGGCCGGGCTTCGGTGATCCCGTCCCACAACAGGAATCCTTTAGCTGTAGCCACAGAGTCAGAGAAAACTTCCTGTTATGGCGTCTTTTTAGCTCGCGTCACTCAAATATTTCAAATGACGATTTAAATGGAAGGATTCTCCTCCTGCAGTAATGAAGGGTCCTTTGGTGTCACGTTCTGGTTCTTTTACACCGTCTGGTATTCGTTTTGCAGCTGTTTTGTACCTTGTTGTTGTTGTTGTTGTTGTTGTTGTTGTTTTGTGTTTCATATCATAGTTCTTCATCGTTTTGTGGTGACTTAATTTGTAAAGTCCAGTTTTCATTCCATCGTGACCCGGCTCATGTAAAAGACTGAAGACGTCCAGAGAGATCAAGGGAACGAGATTATTCAGGATTAAGACGTTGGATGTTGTGGACTCATGGCTTGTCCAGATTTCTGTTGGTCCAAACAGAACCATTTCAAACATGCTTGTCTTTCTTCTCGTTTTGTCTGCAGGTTCCTGGCAACTTTCTGGAACCGGGTTTGGTGGACCTCCGTCAGATCAGCCCCATCTCAGCTGGTCCAGTGGCCCCGGCACCAGAAGACTCCTGGGAGTGGGACGAAACGGACATGACAATCACAGAATCAGATCCACAAGAAGAACCCGACCTGACGCAGAACCTCCCCACAGAACCAGACCTGCCCTCAGATCTCACTCTGACCAACGGGAACCAACCTGTGGAGACTAGAACCAGTCAGTGTCCTGAGATGGTGTCCAATGCAACGGGTGACAGAACCTCCAGAACTGCCCCCCAGAACAACAACAACATCTACCAGGTGTACAGCCTCCACCAGGTGGAGCTGTACCGGCAGCCTCAGTTCCCTCAAACCTCCTCACTGCACAGAACCAAGTCCAAACGGAAAATCCTGCTGAAAAGCCTCAGCAAAGACTCGTCCTTCTCCTCCATCGAGTCGCTTCCCGACCTGCTGGGAGGTTTGGTGTCCAGCAGCCAAGGAGGAGATCGGATAGAGGAGAGCGAAGGAGGAAGAGGAAGCGGCCAGTCGGCAAACAGCCGGAGATCCGAGTGTGAAAGCGGGATAGTCAGTGATACGGGAGACACCGAGACAACCACAACCACCTCCGAGAACCCCGGAGATGAAGACGAGGAGGACCAACACCACGTGGTCAAAGACGACGGTCACAGGAGCAAGACTGAAGGTCATAAGAAGGAGAAAGGATGGAGGAGGGAGGAGCTGAGAGGAGAAACTAAAAGAAGCAGAGAGGAGGAGAAGAGGAGGAGGACCAGGAGAGGAGGAGGTGAAGCTGTGGAGATCCTTATTAATGGACGAGGCATCCTGACTCCTGCCGACTCCGACTCAGACTTCGAGGTGGGAGGACTCGCCGTCGACTCCCGCAGAGACGTGGGTGGCTTCAGCCAGTTTCCTGGTCTGGAGACGCCTCCTGCTGTGAGGGCCTCCTCCCCAGCTCTGTCTCAGGGCTCCTCTCTGGAGTCCCTCCTGGCCCTCGGCGTCGAGTTATTTCCATCCAAAGACTCGCTGCAGCGAAGCGCCTCCCTGGAGAGCTGCCTGCTGCCGAGTCGCAGCGCCGACGGGGAGACGGGAGGCAGCCTGGCCAGCCTGGGGGAGCTGGACCTGAGCCCGAGAGGAGGCGGCGACGCAGGAGAACCGGGGAGGGAGAAGAGCGGAGTCCCAGGAGAACCGTCGTCTGGGGAACTGAGCAGAAGGACCCTGGACCTCCTGAAGCGCCTGGAGAACATCCAGAGTCCTCTGGAGGCCAAGATGACCCGCAGCGTTTCTGACATGACGCTTCGCAGCAGCTCCCCGCTGAGGAGTCGACTTCCTGCGTCGCCGTCTCTCGGCGGGCGCCGTGCTCCGCTATCCGGGGCTTCGGGCTCGGCCAGGAGAGGCCCACCATCGCTGATCAACGAGAGCTCGGCCACGGCATCGCTGACGGAGCTGAGCAGCACCGAGGACTCGTCGCTGGGATCTGAAGACTTCAGAAATCAGCGCCAGCTCCTCCTCGACCCGGCGGCGGCGCCCAACGCCAACTCCTACAGGAAGCGTTGCCACGGTAACAGCAGAGGCGCCGATGAGGCGGATGCGGCGAGCCTGAGCATGGTGGTGAATGTCTCCTGCACGTCGGCCTGCACCGACGAGGATGAGGACGACAGCGACCTCCTGTCGTCCTCCACGCTGACGCTTACCGAGGAGGAGCTGGGCGTCCGCGACGACGAGGATGAGGAGGAGGAGCGTCTCAGCGGAGCGTCTTCGGCCGATGAGAACGATGAGGACGAAGACGAGGAGGAGATGGAGGGATCGTACGTGCTTGGCTTCGAGTACATGAAGAGGGAGCTGCAGAGCTGGATCAGATCTCCTCGCACCTCCTCGTCCTCTAAGACTGAAGCTGGGCTCAGAGACGAGCTGCAGTGTGGGAGCAACCTGTCCTCCGGCTTCACCTCCCACAGCAACTTCCTCACCGCAAAACTGAAGGAAACCAACGGCGGCAACAGTAAGACGAAAAGAGAAAAGAGGGAGATGGAGGAAGAGGAGAACAGGAGGAACGCCACGAGGAGCTACATCAGCCAGTTTGTGGACGACGTGGAGAACGGGAACGTGGAGCAGAGCTGCCTGAAGGGGAAGGACGAGGACGACGAGCTGCTCCGGGAGGAGTCCAGCGTCTTCACCAAGAAGGGAGAGTCTCTGCGGGAGGCGTTCGTCTTCACCAACACCGGAGACGTCAGCAGCCTGGTGCTGAAACCAGAGTCCGACGGCGAGCTCCGCCCCTTCGCCTCCAAACAGGGCTCCTCACTGGTGGGCCAGCTGATGGGGGAGCTGCCGTGCCACAGCGCCGCCCTGCCGTCACCTCCGTCGCTGTCGCCGGTGGACGACTGCCGGGCCGACAGCAGCAGAGCAGCAGGGAGGAAGGCCATCACCATCCAGGAGAAGTTTAAGTTCTCCTCCTTTGTGACGGAGGAGAGCAAGCGGCAGGTCAGAGACAAGGATTCGGCGCTGAAGCCCAGAAAGTGGCTCCATCCTCAGAGCTCCTGCTGCTCCCACCTGAACGCCTCCGTCCAGCCGCTCCACAAGGAGAACATCCACGACTTCGTGATGGAGATCATCGACATGACGTCAGTGGCTCTGAAGAGCAAGGAGAACCAGGCCGAGGAACCGAACCAGGCCCAGAACATCCCAGAACCGAGTCCGGCTTCACTGGCTCAGATCAGAGACAAGGTACAGACACGGTCCTCAGAAAGGTATTAAAACTCCAAATAAGACCTGATGACACCTGAAGCAGACACGTTCACCTACAAACGACTAGACAGGATCAAAACACATGAGCTGATACCATAACCGGGCCGTGTAGAGACCCGAGACCCGTTCTCAGCTCGTATTCTGTACATTTGGAGACAAATTCATCCAAAGCAGCACAAAGTTATCTCAGTTCATTTGTTCACTGAATTGGAGTAATTCAATAAAGCGCCTCACAGATCAGAACTTCTAGGATGTAATGACTAATTCCTTCTTTTTAAAAGTGTAATCTAAAAGCTAATCACTTCTCAGTTTATTTCTGAAAAGCAAAAAGAAATCAGGCAGAAAACTTTGTAAAAAGTGTAAAATATTAATATGTAAATCAGGATGTGATGCTTTGATGTGCTGAACTATAAATAATGCATAAAACCCAGCATCAGGAATAAATCCAGTCACAGTTATTTACAGTGTGCAGCACGTTTAAAGCAACAGGTCGACCCAGAGTGGGTTCTGTTAGAGAAACAGGACTGATGAAAGAAATGTTCATCATGTAGGAAGTCCAGGACCCATCTGAGCCTCGACACACGGTTTCTGCTGTGTGGGATGTGGTTCTGGGCTTCAGAGGGTTTAAACAGCTCAGACACAGTTTCATTTATTACAGAACAGAGGAGAACTTCTGAGACGTTCACCAGGAGGAGCCAGGCGTTAGCGGTGGATTGATCTGCTGCTGTAGTGAGGCTCTTTGGTGCAGCAGGAAGACGTTTCTGTTCCTCTCATTCTGTTTTCTGTCCACGTTAAAGTTCAACTAATTCCACTTGTTTTTGAACTTTGGTGACTTTTTCTCTCAGAGATTAGTTTTTGTTTGACAGAATCTGGTACAAACTGCTTATTTTTCACAGTTTTCTTGATGAAATATTCATATTTTAAGCTTTAATTAGTTTAATTTTATGGTTAAAACCAGCTTAGAAATAATTTGGTTGAATAAATGACAGCAGGGCTCCTCTCACGGGAGGAACCAGCGTCTTCCAGGGACTATTTTCTGCGGTGGATTGATCTAGGTTTGGTGCTGCAGCAGGTCCATGTTGGATGTTTTCTCTTGTCTCTTGGCTGGAGGAGAGTTAATCCATGTTTGGTCACAGCCGAGTCAGTGAAGGATCAGTCCGTTTAGTGTTTCACAGAATCTGCTGCAAACTGTTAGTTTTTTCCATTTTTAAGCAGAATGTTGGGGTTCTGGTGAACTACGGACCTCCTGGCAGGCAGACAGGAGGAGTTCAGGACCTCCAGGGGTTCTCCTCCCACTGCTGAACGGCGTCGTTCTGATGACTTTAAAGAGAAAACGCATGTTTTAAGGTTTTGTGGTTCTGAGGATTCCTCGGTCAGAACTAACGTGTTCGTCTTCCTCCTGCAGGTCCTTGAACATTCCCACCGGCCTCTGCACCTGCGTAAGGGCGACTTCTACTCCTACCTGTCGCTGTCCTCCCACGACAGCGACTGTGGGGAGGTCAGCCAGTGTTCAGAGGAGAAGAACTCCTCCCCGGTGCCCTACAGCCTCCCGTCCTACGTCCACAGTCCGAGTCCGGAGCTGCTGTCCAGCAGACGCTGCGACTCCACCAACAGCGTCTGTGCTCTGGACCTGCCACCGGCCACCGGTTCTGCCCAGCCCGACAGTCCGTCTCTGTCGCTGCCGCCGAGTCCCGACATCCGGGACGAGGTGACGCTGTTCCCGGCCTGCACCGAGGAGGTCTACCTGGGCCCGCCACTCTGCTACAGCATGGTGCTCACCAAGACGCCACGCCGCCTGCTGAAAGACGGCCCGGAGTCCGGCCCCAAGTCCAGCCCACTGCCCGGATACCAGCTGAGCCTCCCCGAGGCCAGCGACGCTCTGAGCTATCTGACCGTCTGTCTGGACCCGGACCAGGAGTACTTCCAGGCATCGGGAGCCTCAGAGGAGCCTCGGAGCTCCTCCTCCCTCCAGGGAACCGGATCAGAGCCACAGGACCCCTCTCCTCTCACCGAGTCCTCCAGCGGCGAGGCCGAGCGGCGGGCCGAGGACCTGAACCTCCTGTGTGATGTCGCTGGCGGAGCTGCGAGTGTCAGCAGGCAGCAGAGCGGTAATGAGGCGCCTCCTTATCTTAATCCCTCGGCTCGTGTCGGCCCGATAGACTCCTCGGCAGCCCAGTGTTTGGCAGATACTAAAACGCTTGAATCCAATATGGGCGCCGTAATGACCAAGATAAGTGTCTGCAGCTCCGCTACAAATCCCTCAAAAGAGCCGGCCGCCGCCGCCACGCGCATTAATCCCAAAATTAACTGCTCGGCGATGAGAGCGGCCGATAGGGAGGAGGGGGAGCGGGGCAGGAAGGGGCGGAGCCGCTCGCTGCAGGACGCCGCGCAGGTGAGTGTATTAGCCGCCGCTATCTCAGGACATTATACAGGCCGTGATACTGCACTTCACCTCTCTGCTCCAGGTATTAGTCGGAGCCGAGCCCTCACTGGGCTGCATGTAATGAGGCCGGTGTGTGTTTCTCTCATTTCCATTCCAGAGGCCTGATGGAGGCTGCTGATAGGACGCTGCTCTTCTTCCTCCTTCTTCCTCCTCTTCCCCCTCTTCCCCCTCTTCCTCTCCTCCTCGTCTCCACTCCTCTGCAGCAACCACAGGCTCAGTTACATTACAGTCAGAACAAAGGTCCAGTTTACAGATCAAAACACACACAAGAATAGAATGATTCATTATTACATTTGAGTTGACTAATTTATGACATTTTACATGATTTTTTTTTTAAATATTAAAACCTTTATTCATTTATTTATTTTACAGGTTTTGAGCATTATTTTTTAAACATTAATTTTACTGTATTTCCTAAATACACCAAATTGTTGACAAAATCATAAAAGCAGACTGAAGAAGCATCAAATTTCCATTTTTAAAATAATTTTTAGAAACAGAAAAATATTTTTTTATTTAACAGATTAAATCATGCTGATGAATGTCAACATATTTTTACAGTTTGCCGCGGTTCATCTCATAATAAATTAGTTTAATTGTGGAGAAGTTCAGTGTTTTGTGTTCACTCGCGGCCCCACAGCCGACTGAACATCTTCAGGATGCTTCGTTTTTACAGTGCACGGGTTAAAAATGGGCCTTTTTGTTTTTATAGCTTTTGTTCAGAAATACAGGAAAATATTGATAACATTACAAATCAGACTGAATAAATCATCTTTGTTCTTGTTAAAGTACATCTACCAATGTGTTTATTTTTGTTGTTCTTTAAACAACACATGTTCAGTTCACGTTTATGACGATAAAAATATTTCTGAAATAAAAAGATCTCATGAAGTTCAGACTGAAGATGGACCTGAAGTCTTACTTTTATTTATATGTATATGTACAGTTACCACAGACATGTTTCTAATCAGTACGTCTTTAGCATTTATTTATCATCCAACCAATCAGACGTCACATGGGAGGGGTTTGTCACCATGGCAACCCAGAACATGGAGGAGCAGCGTGTAGTGAAACAGACGATGAGTTCTGACCCGTGTTGTTAGGAGCCTAGAGTGAAGCAGGAAGAGTGAAAACCAACACAGAACTGAACCGGGACGGTCCACCGGCTGACAGGACCCTGGTTCTGGACACGTTTTATTGAACATCTGAAACCAGAACGCTGCCTGGTTCTGATGAGCCGTAGTTTAGTGGAGACGGGCTGCAGGTCCACCTTCCTCCTCCTCCTCGTCCTCCTCTTCAAACTCCTCTCTCCTCCTCCTCTCCTCCTCCTCCTCTCCTCCTCCTGTCTCTCCTGTCTCTCCTCCTCCTCCTGTCTCTCCTCCTCCTCCTCCTCCTCCTGTCTCCTCCTCCTCCTGTCTCTCCTCCTCCTCCTCTCCTCCTCCTCCTCATCAGTCAGCTCTCGTTAGCACTCATCAGCTGAGAGCTTCACTCCATCTCATCGCTGAATCAGCTTGCTTGTGCTCGTCTATAACTTTTCTATTTCTTCATGTAAATGAGCGACGCAGGTTCCAGCGTCTCTGCAGCCTCACGGTGTGTCTGATCAGGGTTCTGGTGGTTCTGGAGCAGCACATTATCACATCAGTCATGTTCTGGTGTCGCCTCAGTGAGCGGCTGATGGTGAGGGGGTTCGTTAGGGTTCGGCCTCGTTTAAACCAGTGTCCATGGCTCAGACAGGTTCAGGAGCTCCTGTCTTCAGGAGAAAAGTTTAGCTTCACCGACCCGGACACACACAGCGACCGGGTCGAGCCTGAAACCCACTGGACCAGAATCATTATAAACAAGACAGAACAACAGCAAAGACACAGACCAGTTCTGATTAGAGCCGACGGGGAGGAAAGGTTCTGGTTCCATAAGGTTTTATTTGATCATATTAGAGAATTAATTATTTTTTCATATATTTGTATGTTTTCAGCGTCTTTGTGTTCTTCAATCATCGGCTTTACTTTCTCTGAATCTCAGATGCTGTGAGAATTCATTTCTGGCTTTTTTCTAGTGAAACTTTCAGGTTTTACTTTTGCTCCTTTGACACTGATTCTGTGTTTTTGACCATTTTGTTGAGCTGTTGGATTTTTCTTTTAATTTTCTTTGCATGAATTCCTGTAAAGTCTCAACAGAACCGCAAGGCCTGCAGCAGAACTTCTGTAGCGTACTCATTAGCTCATAAATTCATTAGAGGGGAAGCAAACAGAAGAAAAGGAGGCGCTGTGTGTGTGTTGTGTGTGTGTGTGTGTGTGTGTGTGTGTGTGTGTTACGGGATGTATGTGCAGGATAACGGCTGCACCAGTCTTTACAAAGCGATTAGTCGTGAACCAATTAGGACGCGGCGCTGGTGGATTGTTTTCAGCTCCTCGTTTTAATTTGCAACTTTTCATCAGTTTGGCTCAAACAGAAGCAGCCGATGAGAAAACAAACAGCTTGTGAGCCGGATGATGATGATGATGATGATGATGATGATGATGTCTCTGACTCAGTCTCCTCCACAGCAGCCAGGGGGCGCCGTGTCTTTCTGCTGCATCGTAAACACGTTTCTGAGCCGTCTGGTTTCACGTCTCTCTCTCTTCTCCTCTCTCAGGTGAGCTCCAGGTCGGCTGGCAGTCACGGCACCAGACCTGCTCAGGGGCGGAGCCAGGCCTCGGTGAGACCGCCCCCCTCCAGGACAGTCAGGGTGAGTCATCTCTGGTGCTTCATCATGTGACCTGGGTGGGCATGGCCAAGGTGATGTCACTGCCTGCTGAGCCAATCACAGAGCTCAGAACAGGCGGCTCATCTCCAGGTTGTGTTGAGTTCACTTGCCAAACCAGGAGTCTGAGCAGGTCAACATCAGAGCTTCTGAGGAGACAAGAACTTGCTCTGGACCGAGCTTTGGAAGCCTGCAGAACTTCTCTATAAACAACAAGCAGCTCTGTGATGTGATCGTGTCTCTGGCTGAGCTTCACCATCACCTCCAGCACAGACTTCACCAAATCACAACACAAGTTCAGAATATCTCCCGATCTGTCCAGAAATGTTCTGCTCTGATGTTTCCGTCCACAGACTCCTGCTTTGTTCCTCACTCGGTTCTGCTCCATGTTTCACTGTTTCAGGAACTCTGCTGATCCCAGTATGAGTTGTGGTTGGAGGTCCTGAACCTCCTCAGGGTCTCTGTCATGGTCCCGGTGCTGCTGAACTCCCACAATGCTCTCTGCTGCCACCATGACTGGAGTCTGAGCGACAGACAGAAACACGGACGAGACGAAACGACAACAAGAAGAAACAAAAAGATAAACAAGATTTAAAACAGCAGACATTACAAAACAGCTGAAATGAGACACGAAACCACAGAAACCAGGAAGTACAGCTGATCCACAGCACAGTTTATACAACACAGGTTCCATCTGGACGGGTTCTACTGGACCTACATCGTGTTCTGTAGGTGGAACCTTGTAGTAGATTAGATTAGACAGAAAGTTAGTAAAGCTGCTCTACATGATGTTTTGTAGCTTCACAGAGACACTGGACTGACTTAAATAACTTTAATGTACCTGTAGTGTGTGTCATCAGGACACCGGATCAGAACCTCTCTCGCTGCCGTCCAGGTGGAGCCGGAATCAGCTGCATCTATTGTGGGTTTCATCATATTTCTGTTTTTTTAAGAATCAAACCAAAGCAGGAAGCTGCAGAATACGAACAAAGGCCGTCACTGACACGCTCACAGTGTGTGTGTGTGTGTGTGTGTGTGTGTGTGTGTGTGTGTGTGTGTGTGTGTGTGTGTGTGTGTGTGTGGCCCTATGGCTGCCTCCAGGGCGAAACAAAACCTACTGCCCCCCTACTCAGACACACAAACCTGCAGCAGCACACACACCCCTGAGGGCAGAGCAGGTGAGTCCAGGTAGAAGCTCTGACAGCCCAACAGCTGCAGGTTAGACACACACACACACACACACACACACACACACTGCAGAGGACAAACACACACACACACACAACACGTGTAGCGCCGCGACAGAGGACGCACACACATGCACACATCATGTCAGCGATGCGTACAGCTGGTCCTGACCCGACGGCGAGGCCCGGTCCAGCCCACCTGTTCACACACACACTCACACACACACACACACACACTGTACGCACACACACAGGTGCAATTAAAGCAATCGTGGATGCGGCTCATGATGTGCTCTGTGACCCAGACAGCAGAAGGTCTGCAGCAAAACACAGGAGACGAGCCGAACAGGCTGCAGCTCAGGAAGCTTCAGCGAGATGTGATGCAAACACGGCGTCCGGCGTGGAGCAGAATAGTAAACGTACGGCGGCAGAAAGCAGCGAGCGGGCTGGAGACGTCGCCCAGTAGAACCCACCGAACATACCGAGCATTTAGCCGAGACACAGAACCAACAGAACCAACACGGCTTCACTCGGACTCGCGTCTCTTCATCAGACAGGATCAGATGCGACCACAGAGGATCCATCCTCGGGTGTCGGGTCCAGTCAGAGTTCTGGTTTATGAGCTTAGATCAGTTCTACATCCAGGAGCCCCGACCCAGACGCTGCTGTCTGCTGTGACCTGCTTCAGCCCGACTATGATAAAAACTCATAAATCAGTTTGTTATGGTTGGACTCAGCGTCTGTGATCTGACCGTAAAGTCTGAACATAAAGTCACATGTTGGCAGCAGAAACAATACAACAGCTCATCAGCTACATTCATTTAAATCCATTTAATCACATTAATGAAAACATGTTCTGGCCTTAATTCTTCATGAGATGATGATATGTCTGTCTGTTTAATGTTTAATGAATATTTACATGAGCAAAACCTGAACTGTGTAGAGTTACAGAACCAATAATTAAATTGAATAAATAACATCGACAGCATTAAACTGCAACGTGACAGTTTCCTTCATTAAATAAAACCATATCGCTCCATCTGTGTTTGAGGTACACAAGGTCTCACTGATGTTTCTGCTCTGTTTGTCATTTTATTCATATTTTCTGTGTATTAAAAAAACAAATCAGAAGAAAATCTGTGAATTAAAATGTCTAAAAATTCTATAAAACCGATTTTTTTTTTTACAGTTCACGTCATGATGAAGCAGCCGGAAGCATTTTACTGAGTGTGTTTGATGCTTTTTAAATGATTACGTCCCGTCTGAGCTCCTGATTATAAATAAGCAGCAGAAACCTTGTAGTTCCATCAGCACTGACTGGTTCTGTGTTCTGGTTCTCCTCAGAGACCCTCCATGTCGGCAGCAGCCTCCAGGATCCACCTGTGAGGACTCGTCCACCTCCTGCTTCTCTCCTGGCGTCTCCTCATCTCTGCTTCTTCTGTCAAACACTGAACCAGAACCATCATTCAGGGCGACCTTCAACCTCAGACGCTCCTGCTGGGATCCGATCCGGCGCTTCACAGGAGTCCAGTCTAGTTTCAGGGTTTGTGATGTGAAGCTGCTGATTGGGTTTGACTTCAGCTGAAGGTTCAGGCGGTCGGAGGAACATTTATGGATTCTAGAGACAGTAATGTGGTGAAATAACATCCAGCCTGATCCAGTGATTGGTAGACGTGAAGCAACTTCTGGAGGTTTCCATTTGACCGTCTGAGGAGGCTGGAGGAGGATTTATTTCACCAATGAGTCAGATTCATGTTGTATTTGTTGCATCAAACTGGACCCAGAATCCGCTTTTCATTCTTATTTTTATTTTTTTTTTACGGTTTTAGACTTGTTTTGGTGTGTTAAGGTTTATTCTAGAACACTGTTGAATTAAATACGGTTATATATGACTCAGAGGAACCGGCTGTTTGACAGAACCGGTTCCATAAAATACACATGTGAAGCTAACCGGTGGTCACCCGTCAGAGCTTCTCTGTTCCACAATCAGAAAAACGTTCTAAAGACGGTCAGAAATAAAAACATCCGTCTGGTCGTTCTCCAGTCGACACTTCCTGCTGCTTTCTTGCAGTTTTAAATCCAATAAACAGCCGCTGGTTGGTTCTGACCAGACGAACCTCGGCGCTCAATCAGAAGTCCGACGACGCCAGCCGCAGAATGAACACGACACCAGAACAGCTGCTTCTTTGTTGGACAACAAGCTGCATTAAGTGTTCTTTGTCCACGAAGCAGCAGGAAACTCCCTTTGCACCAGTTTCATTTACTGTAAGTCTGAAGCTGTAGATCTCTGCTGGCTTTGAAGCCACCAGAAGCCTCTTTCTGTTGAGTTTCTTCCCTCATGAACCCGTTTCTGTGATATTCTACCTCAGTGTTGTTCTGACTCCATCTCACGTCTTCGCTCAGTTCGCATGACGTCTGCCTGAGTTCGTTATCTCACAGTTCATACTCACTGTCAGGACTAAAGCTGCTGCAGCGTCGTAGCACACGTAGCGCTCAGTTACTTCCTACCAATAATAACACAACGAAGCTGCTGCTGCTGCTGTGGTCGGAGCTACAGAACCAAACCGTAGAACTGACTGCACTGTCATCCGAGTTCAACATTTAACAGGTGGAAGGAAGTCAGGATTTACAGAGGAGCAATCAATGTGGAGAGAAATGATTGTAAAAGTGAAGTTATTGTTAATAAAAACTACAAATAGTTGGATGGAAACCACTCAATCAGCCACACCACCTGGCCAAAAGTATGTGGACAGCTGAATGTTGCAGCACATGTGCTTGTTGTGGCTTTGGCCCAGTGGTTGTCCAGATACTTTTGGCCATGTGCTGTGTGTTGACCTGTGAACTCTATAGTGACCAGAGAGGCCAACAGGTTGTATTAATTACCACTGAAGACAAGTTCTGTGGGTTTGGACTCAAAGGCCTGAAAGTCCACAAACCAACCTGACGGACCTTCAATCAGCCATTTATTTAGTTCTACAGTCTAAGTCCAACTGTGGAATCCAACAGCACCAGACCTCGAAAGTGTCCTCAGAGTTTAAAACAAAGGATAGAACTGTTTCTTGATTCAGATGTCTGACACTGTTACTCTTCTAAAAATGATCTAAACAGCTCCTATCTAAAACAATACTCACTGTCTGACAGAAAAGAACCTCATACCTAAAATCAGAGTCGACAAACTGAACCTAATCACGCGATGAAAGCATCAGACCCTGTCAGAGTCAGACCCTCCTGATGTGAGCTGAGGATCGGTGAGATGCCCGTTCATCAGCTCGACCCATCTCCAGATCCGTTTGCCTCCAGCTGGCTCAGACACAAACACAAGTCGACTCTCCAGCTGTCTGGATTTCAGGATTTGACAGCAAACATGATGTTTTTTGGGGGTTCGTCCCATTCTTCCCAAAACCTTCAACGTCAGGTAAAAAGCACCTGATTCATATTCAGTCGACACTTTCTGCCAAATCTGGAGATGAGGACCTTCTGCATCCCATCTGAAGCAGCATCTCGCTGGTTGAACTAAAGATGTTCCAACTTTAGATACTGACATCTGTAGGTCTGTCTTGAAGTAGAGCGCTGTCATGAAGCTGAAACTTCTGTAGATTATTTAATGTTTGAAGCACACGTTGGAGAAGTAAGTTCACAGCATTGTCTGTGATGAAACACTGAATTCTCTCGTCTGCAATCTGAACAGACGCTTTAAGGACATCTGATGCAGCTTCGTGGAGGTAAACTGGCTGAATGTGCCCCCAGTTCTGTCTGGAAGGTTTGAAGCTTGTGCTTGGTGAAGTTCAGGTGCAGCCTTCAGCTCCCACCTCCATTCGCTCTGAGGGAACATGGCTGCTTCTCGTCATAGGTTAAGGTCCAGGTAGGGCTGAAGCTGTCTGATAATAGAGTTAAGTATTCATCTCTCTGCTGGTAGACAAAGCAGGCGTCCAAAAACTAGAACAACTAAACGGTATTTTATCTATGCAACACGACCAAAGTGGGCGAAGGTGTTGTGTAGACGTGAAGGTTTGCTGATGTGTGCTGTGCTAACCTGCTGTATGTATGTTCACCACTACTGCACCATGTATTGGTTCTTTTTTTACTTTCTAGACTCCTGAGACGAAGGCTAGCAGAGACGCTGTGGTTTGGGTCGGTGCTGAGACATGCGAGTGTGTGTTTGGGACAATATAGGGTTTGAAATCTTTAAATATAAATGTGTGCCTTGCTCTGCTGTTACTCCTCCTACCTTTTTTCAATTAAACACTGCTTTCCCAGCTAGAAAACATGCAAGAACAGAAGTAGGAGAAGCGAGGCTAAAGCTGAGCTGGTGTATATATGTAAAGCGTCAGACGGAGGGATGCTTGTGTTTGTGTTTTTCTCTGTGATCTGTGATGTGGAATATCTTTACTATTAGTGTCGCCGTGAAGAGCTTGACTGCATGGTTCCTGCTACATACGATGTAAAGCCGACTGTTGAATTAAGAATAAACTTAATTTATTGGAAAAACCACATAGAGGAGTGTGGTTTTTGTTCTTGTTTCATCATGTTTATGAAATCTGGGTCAGAACAAACAGCCAAACAAGCGATTGTGTCGACGTCCCAGCAGGGAGCTGTGGGTCGACCTCAGAGCTGAAGGAAGGAAACCAGAAGATCCGAACCAGATGCTGAACCATCTAACCTGTGGACTCTGAGCTCCTAGCTCTGACCACAGACACTTACAGAGGAAACTCTTGTATGTCAGACGCACAATCAGAATCTCTTTATTGTCATGTACAAGAAAGCACAACGAAATTTGAGTTAGCAGCTCTGGTAGGCAGAACATCAGCACAACATCCTGTGTGGTGTCCAGAGCTCCTGGAGGCAGGTGAGGGTTGGATCAGCAGGTAAATGTTGACTGTTCACTACAACAGCCTCACATCCATCCATCCAACCATCATCTCTACACCTTAATACTCACAAAGGTGGTGGGGGGCGGAGTCTATCCCAGCTGACTCAGGGTGAAGGCAGGTTCACCTGGACAGGTCAGCAGTCTATCACAGGGCTACACTTAGAGACAGACAACCAAGCACACTCACATTCACACCTACGGACAATTTACAATCACCAATTAACCTCAGCATGTTTCTGGACTGTGGGAGGAAGCCGGAGAACCCGGAGAGAACCCACGCTGCACGGGGAGAACATGGAGACTCCACGCAGAAAGATCCCGGGTGTCCTCACCGGGACGCCAACCAGCAGCCTTCTAGCTGTGAGGCGCTAACGATGCTAATCACCGAGACACCTGCAGCCCAGAAGGTTGGATCAGCAGGTAAATGTTCACCGTTCACTACAACAGCCTCACTCTCCATGACTCCATGTCGTGCCGTCTGACCAGCAGCAGCCTCCCGTTGCTGCCGGTCAGACGGCGGCTGAGCCAGAACGTCCTCCGGTCGCCTCGCCGCTGGTTCATGGCTGCCTCAGTGGAAGTTGTGGACTCTGAATCAGAAGAGGAGTTGTGTGGTTTTCCTCCGCCAGCAGCTGTGTCAGGCCCCCAATCACCAGTAAAAGCATCATTAACATGTTTTTCATCTTCCAAAGATTTATTTTGTGCCCTTAATCAGACCTGCTGCCTTCGGCCTGTTCGCTCACACAAAGTTTGAACCGCCGAGGAGACGAAGCACAATCGAAGGCTGAAGCAGGTGATTGGATACGCTGATAAACACACACTTTGGAACATTACTGAGCGTTAAATAATGTTTACTCGATCAGAAGGAGGTCAGTTTGTGAAAGAGGAGAAGCTGCAGGATGATGGTGTTTACGTGCTGTGTTTCTGCACATCAATACGTCTGATTGCAGAGCGTCCTTGATAACATCCATTAGACGTGAACTCGGTCCGACGCTGATGAAAAGTCTCTTTTCAAATGAGAACAAATGTGAACATGTGTGTCTGCAGCTTCTTAAAAATCTCTTTCAGCCGAGGGAAATATTCACTTTGAGCCTAAGATTACTGTTGTTGTGTTTCCGTCCATGAGCATTAAGTCAGATTAAGGCAAATAACAACACTTACAGTGTAAAGATCTGCTGGTTCCTCCGACAGGCTCATTACAACCCAGACTGACTGAATACTAACCGACTAGCTTCACACCCTCAGCTGCATCACCAACAAGTCTACAAGTTAGCTGTGACAGTGACAGAGAAGATCTGAACTACTGCAGGAGGAAAGTAGAGCCGACCTGACAGAAGGTAGAACCTCTCCTCTGAAGCTGAGGCATCCGAGAAAACATCTTTACAGTCACACAAGCTCCAGAAAGATGTTCCACCATCAGACGTAGAAAGATGTTCCACCATCAGCTGAATGTATCTCCACCAACTGGCTCCTCTGGTCTCTGGTTCTGATCCATGCTGCATCTATTCATTGATCCAGTAGGTTGGATTCTCCTTCAGTCTCTCTGAGGAAACACTGGCTGCAGTTCACCTGAAACTCTCTGAATGTTTCCTGTTGGTCACAGCTGAGTCAGTGGTGGAGGATCAGAACCAGGAGGAGGAAGGTTCTGGTTCTACAGGATCAGAACCAGGAGGAGGAAGGTTCTGGTTCTACAGGATCAGAACCAGGAGGAGGAAGGTTCTGGTTCTACAGGATAAGGACCAGGAGGAGGAAGGTTCTGGTTCTACAGGATCAGGACCAGGAGGTGGAAGGTTCTGGTTCTACAGGATCAGAACTAGGAGGATGAAGGTTCTGGTTCTACAGGCTGCTACAAACACTTTATTTTTGGTGATTTTTTTCAGAACATCCAGAATAAAGTGATGCTGGTAGAATCTAACTGGGTTTAATTTTTCATGTTTTATTGAAGCGTGCTGGGACACCATCTGAAAGGAGAACATTCTTCTGGGTTTCAGTCTCAAATGGTGTAATCTCAGTCGTGCTCTGGTGGGTTTTGGTTCAGAGGGTCAAACAGCGGCTGGTCTGCCGGTGAAGCCGTGAACCATCAGCTGACGGTGACACCTCCTTCTGTCGCTGAGGGAGAATCAGAGCAGAGCTGTCAGAGGATTAAAAAAATGGCAGTTAGCTGCAACAAAACACACTCCACATTAAAGCAAATTGCTTCTTGCGATTGTTGATCGTTGCTCATTGCTGCGTCCTCGCGGTCGGAGCCGTGATGCTGATTGTGGCTGAAGGGGCCTTCAGATGACTGATAAGCGCTGATGAATGGAAATGGAAATGCTTTTCAGCGTTTTGCCTTCAAAGGGAAATCAAATAGAAGGAAGGAGGCGAGAGCAGAGGACGGAGAATATTTGCCTTTTTGCAATTAACAAGATATGTTCTTTTTTTGTGGTCAGAAAAATGGAAATGGCTTTTAAGGTCGTAAAGGTCGAGCGCATCGAAGCATGGTGGCTCTGCAATTACTGGGGAGGCAGCGGCGTGGCGGCGGCGGGACGGGGGGGTCCGGCCGCGCACCGGCGCTCAAATTAACGAGACGACCGGCTGCCTGTCGAAAAGATCACATGTGATTACCGAACATCAAACAGACAGAGCCTCAAATTATCTCCCCTCTCGCTGTGGAGTCCTGAGAAGAAGGACGACGACGCGCTGATTAGTTAAAGGCTTTAAATGTCAAAACTTTCAGAGGATCTGCTGCAGAGACAACAGGCCGGCTTCAGCAGCCAGCCGCTGTTCTACTGTCGGTTCTGAAGAATAATCTGCTCCAGAAATATCAGGTCAGATCCACATATCTGCTCGTTAGCGCTGAAGACACGGACGTCGTTAATCAGTCAATCAGTAAAACGATACCTGGAGAACATTGTTTAAATGTATGAGATAGATTAATAAAGTGAACACAGCTGTTTGTATCAGCCTTTATTACCCAGCAAACTACAACGAGTTCAATTAATTAGCTTTAATTATAATTATTTAA